AGAGTGAACGGCGCAGCCGGCGAGGCGATCGAGTTGAAGGACGCGTTAAACTTGGTTCAGCTACTTACGCCCGCGGCGGGCTCAACAGCATCGAGCGCGCTTTCCGCGGCGCCGAGTAGCGTCGCCCAGGCGCGGGCCAACGCCGTGCAGCTTCCAGTGGCGAGCTCGGCGGCCGCTCCGAGCGGCGGCGGCGCCGGTTCAGCGGGTAGCGGGGCCGTGGGGGGCGCCGCGTCGGCCGCCCAGTGAGTGCTGCGCCTGGCGGCCCAGGCTGCGGATCCCGTGAGTCGGATTTCGATGCTGCGAGCTCCAGTGGGTGGCGGCTCAGGGGGCGACGGCACGAGCTGCGAGGAGTGCATCGTGGTGGGCTCGGGGGCCTCCAGAGCGACGTGCCTACTCGGCCGCGCCCCGGGCGCGGCGATGCGCGAGCCCGCGCGGGTCTGCGACGCCCGCGCTGCCGAAGATAGGCGCGTGAAGCACCGCGGCGAGATGAGCGCGCCGTGCATCCTGCCGGGCAGCTCAGACGCGCGCGGAGTGGACGTCGACCGCCAGGTTGCCGACGTCTCGCGTCCCATCGCGGGAGTGGCCGAGGCGTGCGACAACGGCCACTCTGTGCTGTTCTCACCGACGGGCTTGTGCATGGTACCCGCGGCGCTCAGCCTGCCTGAGGGCATCGCCGACGCCTCTCTGGTGCGGCAGGACGACCTGTTCTGGATGCGAGGGCGCGTCGCGGGAGGCGCCGCGACCGCGTCCGAGACGCTGCGGCTCAGCCCAGTCGTGGCCGAGGCGCTCGCGGCAGCAGCTCCCGCGGCGGCCGAGCAGCCTCAGCGCGAGGGGGCGCCGCTGGCAGAGGCGGGGCCCGACGGGGTGCCAGCGAGGGCGAAGCGGGCGCCGCCGCTCCCCTTCCAGGAGGAGATCGACAAGCGCGACCTCGCTCACCTCCCACCGCGAGGTTGGCGCGACAAGTGCGTGCCCGCCAAGATGGCAGACGGCCCGCGCCGACAGGGCAGCGGGCCTGGCAGCGTCTACGAGGTGCATATGGATTTCCTGCAGCTCGGCGCCGTGGTCGCAGCTGAGGAGCTGGCGGCCTCAGCTGACAGCATGGCATGGTTGGCTCCGGCGGATCGGCAGATCGACCAGGCCGTTCTGATGCCGCAGCTGGTGGGCCCAGTTGCTGGCGACGGCGTGGAGCTTGTTTTTTTATAGCTCGGGCCCGTGACGCCCGTTACGGGGGGGGTTCCCCCCCCGTAACGGCAACGAGCGTGCGGGGACGGGGGTGCGGACCCCCCTCCGTCCAGGCAGGCATGCTGTGACGGTCGCATGTGTGCTCAGGTTCGAGGTTCGAGGGTAGAGGTTGGGGACTTCTCAGAAGCCCTCTGGCCTTCAGTGAAGCCCTCCGTGTCTTCGGGGGAGGCTTGGACATCTTCTCATAAGGCCGGAGGCCTACTGAGCCTTCTCAGAAGGCCCGCCCCCTGTCACTCCCCCCCTCGGCTCGCCGCCAAATCTTGCGGGCAGTGCCAGCGGGCGCTGCGCTTTAGCACTTGATCGGCGGTGTGGCGCGCCACAGGTGCCACAGAATGGTCGTCGTCATCCCTGCCGCGTCCGTTGTCATTATCCTGCGGGCTGCGCCCGGAGTCCCGGCGCCCGCCTGCCAGCACGACGTTTCCCCGGACAGTGCGCGCGCCAGGAGTTCCGTTGAAGCGCAGCGCCACAAAGTGGCCCCGCCTTTGGCGCAACCTATGGCGCAGGTAATTGTACGCAAGCACAACGTGTGGTGTAACGCATCGGGCAAGCCATGGCGCAACCAGTCGGTGCACTCTCACAATATCATTATGACTACTACCGCTGTCCTCCCTCCATTCTCCCTGTGCTGGTGCAAGGGGCTGGACTGGGCGAGACCTGCGCGCGGATGTGGCCGCATGTCCTTCCAGCGCTCGGCCCTCCTACCTCGCGCGGCTGGTCACGCCAGCCCCCCGCGTGTGTATCCAGCAAGTGGGCCCCAAGCGCTGCTGAAGCTTTCGGCAACTGGCTGCGGACGCGGCGGCGGTGGCGGCGACGGCGACGGCGGCATCGGCGGCGACGACGACGGCGGTGACGGCGGCGGCGGTCACCTTCACCGCCGCCGCCGCCGCTTGCCGCCGTCGGCGTCGTCGCCGTCGCCGCCGCCGTCGTCGTCGTCGTCGTGGTCGCCGTCGCCGCCGCCCGTGTCGCCGCCGCCGCCGCCGTCGCCCCCCCGGTCGCCGTCGCAACTGACGGCGACGACGACGACGCACCCGCGTGCGCGCTCCAGCCGTCGACCCATGTCTCAAGGGCCTTGTGCCTGTGCAGGGAGCCCCTGCTTCTTGTATTCCCTAGGCTGCCGCCGCCCCGCGCGCCCCCACGGTGCGTGGTTTACACTCCGCACAAAAAAAAGCCGTACACAAGCTTTGTGGTGCACACATGCCATGTGGTATACACAGGCGCCACGGTTCAAGCTCCCATGATGTACACAGTCGCAATGGAGTACACAGGCGCTCTGGGCTCAACAGGTC